CACATCCTTCCGTGCAGAACGGGTCACACTAGAAGCCTCGGCGCGTCCGAGGGATGCCAACAGCTACCCATCTCGGCACTGCGAGGCCAGGCCGGCACCTCAACAGAGCACACTTTTCCGAGGGACAAGGCGACAGGAGAGACGTTGTTGGTTGCGTCAAACACGGCCGCACCTTGGCATCAACCATGATGAACCGCCCATGGTGCACTTCCGGATGATTGGGAACTTGCCCCTTCGTGCTAAGGATATGCCCGTGGAGGCTTCACCTAGCGCCACAACCTTCCGTGCGGAACGGGTCACACTGGATGCCTCGGCACGTCCGAGGGATGGCCGCAACTACCCACTGTGATGCCAGACCGGCACCTCGACCAAAGGGACGAAGGCATCAAGATTTTTGACTTGGACCTTGAGGAACAAGCAAAGAACTTGCTGCACGCCAAATGTGTCATGGTGCCGGATAAGCTCACTACGAGATGCCCACATTTTTCCGTTGGACCAGCCAGAACCGGGACACGTACGACCTGGATTCGGCATGGACTATTTTTGACTCGGTCGAATTTCCCACATCGCCATGGAAAAACGCACCAGCATGCTTGGGAAAGCTTGCTGGGGCGCTGGGAGGGAGCCCCATGGCACGCCATCCTGACCCACCAAGGTGCGTGGGCAGGCAGGCAGCTCCCCCCTATAGTAGGCTAATATGCAAAAACCCGCTCTCCAGCACCGGACATCCTTTTTTCTGGGGAGACATACTCGGTTTTTTTGAGGCTACGGGTCGAAGTTTGACCTGATTTTTAGCACAAGTGCTTATAAAAAGTGGGAGCAAGTGGTCCACAAAGTTTCACGATTTTTTCTCCGAGCCGATACTTTTTCATGATTTTCCTAGCCGACGAGCTTTATGTCATTCCCGAAAATTAGAAAATGGGTGTGGACCATGTTTCTTGAGCTGTTCTATTGCAGGAGTTCCAGGAATATTATTCATAAACATTTCCCAGAGTTACGTCCATGTAAGGTCGAGGCATTTACCTCAAATGATTTTCAACCGACGTGCGGCACAATCCATGATGCCCTGACGGACACACGTGCCATGGCTTGGGTGAGTGTGCCATAGGCTAGGCCACGCACCACATGAATAAGGGACTATGTGTGTATCGTGGACTTTGCACCAATTCGACTAATCGCACACACAAGTTGCGGATCCACAACCCTCGAAGAGCAAAGTGGAAAACCAAAAATTCAAGATATCAATCTTGATGAGGCAAGTGATTCCAGATGCAACACATGAATAAGGGACTGCGTGAATTCCTAAACTCTGAAGGGTGAGCCAGATCAGACCCCCCAACACACTTCTAAGAGTCACAAGCCAACAAGCAACACAGTGTCACATGCCCTTATCTTTAACCAAACCTGCACTGAGAGGCCACAATCAAGACCCTCGCTTCCGCCATGGGAACCACCCACAACACACTACCAGATTATGGGACTTACGCCCCTTCGTGCTCTGCATATATGCCCATGAAGGGTTCACCGAGCACCACAACCTTCCGTGCAGAACGTGCCACAGTAGAAGGCACGACAATTCCGAGGGATCCCCGCAACAAACCAACTCTGCACTGTGAGGCCAGGCCGGCACCTCAACAGAACACTTTCCCGAGGGACAAGGCGACAGGAGAAACATTGCTGATTGATTCGACCACGACCGCCCCATGGCTCCAACCGTGTTGAACAGCCCAGGGTGCACTTCCGGATGCTTGGGAACTTGACCCATGCATGGTGCTGCGGATACGCCCAAGAAGGGTTCACCGAGCACCACAACCTTCCGTGAACAACGGGCCTCGGTAGAAGCAACGACAATTCCGAGGGATCCCCGCAACAAACCAACCCTGCACTGTGAGGCCAGGCCGGCACCTCGACAGAACACTTTTCCGAGGGACAAGGCGACAGGAGAAACATTGCTGATTGATTCGACCACGTCCGCCCCATGGCTCCAACCGTGTTGAACAGCCCAGGGTGCACTTCCGGATGATTGGGAACTTGACCCATGGTGCTGCGGCTACGCCCATGAAGGGTTCACCGAGCACCACAACCTTCCGTGCAGAACGGGCCACAGTAGAAGCCACGACAATTCCGAGGGATCCCCGCAACAAACCAACTCTGCACTGTGAGGCCAGGCCGGCACCTCAACAGAACACTTTCCCGAGGGACAAGGCGACAGGAGAAACATTGTTGATTGATTCGACCACGACCGCCCCATGGCTCCAACCGTGTTGAACCGCCCAGGGTGCACTTCCGGATGCTTGGGAACTTGACCCTTCGTGCCTGAAGATATTACCAAAACCATCCGTGCAGATCAGGCCACACATGAACACACGACAATTCCGAGGTATCCGCAACAACCCATCTCGGCACTGTGAGGCCAGGCAGGCACCTCAACAGCGCACACTTTTCCGAGGGACAGGCAACAGGGGACACGTTGCTGATGGCCTCAACCACAAACGCGCCA